GGCCGTACAGCAGACTGGACGCGGCCATTTCAGCGAGCTCGTCTCGCGAGGACGCCGGCAGAGGATCGGAGCGGGAGGACCCGGAGTGGCGCATCGCTGTCGCCGCCAGCTCGGCACGTGGGGCAGATGTTTCCATTCCCACGGCGGCAGCGGAAGAGGCCGGGCTGGGCGCGGGGCCGACGCTTTCCGGCCCCGCCAGCGACCAGGTCACAAGGCCCGGCGGGGGCGTCACAGGCCCCGCAGCCCCGCCCAGCGGACGCTCCAAGCCGCGCGTGCGCAGACACGCCTGCCCCGGCCGCGCCGCTCCCCTCAACGCCGCTTCCCGGGCCAGGAGCGCTTTGCCCACGACCCCACTAAAAATGAGCGCGGCAGCCTCGTCGTGCTCGTTCATCTAAACATGGAGCACATCATTACCAGCGCCCGCGAGGCGCCCGACGCCGTTTCAGGGAAAAACATTGTAAAAACATCGCAATCAATAGAGAAACACTCGGGCAGACACGAGCTCCCAAGCCTGAGTTTCCCCGTGTCACAGCCGACAAGTCCCAAATTCGTCTGCAGCTCCCACAGACACCGCCTTCGCAATGAATTCTGCCTTTGCTCAGCCCCTGCAGCGCTGGCAGCCCAGCCCACGCCACCGCCGCTTCCAGCCCAGCTAACGCGTCACCCCGCTCCCACCCTTCTCCCCCGAAAGGTCTTCTCCCCATCGCGGCCACAAAGATCAGCCTGAAAGGTAATCCCGTCGTGGCCCTCCTGTGCTCTGAACCCTACTATGGCTCCCTACTGCCAAAAGTCCTTTGCTGAAATGTAACCTAGGTGACACTCTCCACGACCAACCTGTTTTAAAATTGCAACCCCGGATAACCCTACTCCCCCTCACCTACTTACTTGCCCTTTTGCCCAGCACTTAGTTTACCTTCTAACATATTGTGTAATGTACTCCTGTATAATACTTATTGCTTATTGTCCCTCCTTCAGGTGTTTATATTTTTCACGGATGTGTACCACACCTGGTGCCTACGACATCTGTCTAGGACAAACGGGTGTTTGTGTGGCCCTAGGCAAGCCATTCAACCTCTCTGCACCTCACTCACTTTATCTGTAACCACTTGGCACTGTTGGGAGGATCAAATCAGGTATTTTGCATGAAGCACCTGGCAGAGAATTTATCACTCTATGTTGTTTACTTTACTTTATTTTATTTATTTATTTATTTATTTATTTATTTTTGTGACCGGTAAGGGGATCGCAACCGGCCATCCCTATATAGGATCCAAACCCGTGGTGGGAGCGCTGCTGCACTCAACCTTTGTTGAATACTGTGAAAATGTCACAATAGTCAGAGTGGGACATGCTACCAATATAACTATGGTATCTGAGTAACTATGAAGCAAGGTATAGTAATAAAAGCCACAAAGATGGCACAATCAGGTGGCTGTAGACATTCAGAGGTAAATTCTAGTTGAGGTTAACTGGAACATCTTTATGGATAAAGTGGTTTTTGAACACGGCATTAAGGGCTACTAGTATTGCTTTAGGGAGAGAAAAACAATTGAAGTAAAGACCTGAAGGCAGGAAAAGGGAGACGCGGCTGCGCTCCCTGCGCCGCACTCTCCCGAGTGCGCCACGGGGTCGGCCCTATCACTCTATGTTGTAACTATCTGAATACTTTTCTGTCTCTCCCATCGGACCCTGACTTCAGGGGCTAGGAAATGGGTTTCACGCATTTCTGAGGCATGGAAGTATAGCATCGTGGTTAGGAGCATGACTTCTGGAGTCAGATTACAGGGGTTTGAATGCTACCACTTACGAGCTGTGCAACCATGCACAACTTGCCTAGACTCTCCATGCTTCAGTTTCATCATCCACAAAATGAAGACAAAAACAGAAGCTGTATCAGAAAGCACTTAGAACAGTTCCTGGCACGTAGTTAAGTACCAGCTATTATCTCTGGATTCTCTTACCTGGCACAGAGGAAGTCTCAGCAAATGTTTATGAAAGGGGCTTCTTCCTGCTTGTTTCCAAGCTGCACAAAAGTCACCAATTGCTCCCTAACACATTCTTGTTTGTGCAGAATTGGACTCAACAATAGCCTTTCTTATAGCAGCCCTGGTCAAGTTTCTTCTCACTAGTTCCTACACTTTGAGGCCCCTGGGAAGGCCCTCATTCCACTGGTATAGATTAACCTGTGTAGGGTCTCTGCTTGAGCTGAGTATGGCTACATCTTGGTGTAAAGGAATATACCTTATACCGGAGCCAAATGTAAACAACCTTAAAAAGTCACGCCAGTGGGGGTAAAGAGCTTTCAGTATAACTGCAGTGGTCTATATTTGAAAGTCTTTGAGCAGGTGAGATTTGAGCTGAGACTTGAAGGAGGTGTGAGAGTGGAACTGTGTGGAGATCAGAGGAAAAGCGTTTCAGGCAGAGGACACAGCACCTGTTGAGGTCTAGGGGCATGACTGTGCTTGGTAGTTTCAGGAAGAGCAAAAAGGCCAGAGTGAGATGACATCACAGAGGTCAGGGGCAGGGGCATGCAGAACATGTGGGATGCTCTAGGCCACGGTAAAGATGTCGGATTTTACTCTGATGAAGGTCAGAAACCATTGGAGGATTGTGAGCAGAAGAGTGTCACAACCCACTATATAGTTTGAAAAAGTCACTCAGTTGCCACTGTGTGAGGGGCAAGGGTAGAAGCAGGGAGACAAATAGGATACTGGTTACTCTTGCTTGTGCAAGTAGATTCTAGAATCTTCAACATCAGGAACTTTTCTCGCTGCTGCCCCTAAGGAAGAGGGTTGGAGTAGGCTAGGAATATGAGGACAAGTTCAAGGTCCTCTTTACCTTGACCTCTTCTTGCCTCTCTTCCTCTTCCCAAGCGTTCTGATGAAAGCAGTCTTCTGGTGCCCCTCCTGCTCTCCGAGGCGAATGGGTTAAGCTTTAGCTCGGCCTCCCTTTTCCTACTTAGTTCTTCCTGGCTGCTTTCCACTGCCAAAAAGGAAGCAATTCTATCAGTTCTGCTCAGTGCTAACGCTGCTGTTTCATCCAGTAGGTAAAGTTCCCTAAGATTCTCTGCAAAACATTTGGGACTTTTCACTAAATCATAAAAAATTGACCTGTTTTCTCCCATGAGCCAAAGTTATTTTAGGAAAGAATTAATCTTTCTCTTCTCCAGTGAAGCATTTTCTAGCAATAAAAGCCATGCAAACAGAGCTCTCTGCCTGCTTCTTTCTGTGCCTTTTGCGATTCAGCTTTAGTGCCACCAGAAGACACTACCTGGGTGCAGTGGAACTGTCTTGGGACTATTTGCACAGTGACCTGCTCAGTGAGCTGCATGTGGACACAAGGTAAAGGCATGTTGTATAAAGTCTGATCAAGGGCCAGGATTGTGGGGATGTGACTCTGGTTGGAAGAAGGTGTAGACATCAGGTTAGCATGACTGTGATGCTGGTTAAGCCCCCAAGAAACATTTCGTCGATCTGACCTATTAGTTGACATTTTCTTCTGTTTTGTCCAATGCTTCTCTTTGTCATATGTTGCCACTCTGTAATCTACAGAGTACGGTACAGTGAGGGCGAAGGGGCAAGGAGCATAAGAGAGAACAAAATTTCCCTTCACCTACCCCAACCTTCCATAGAGAGAACCAAGGCAATGAGATCCAATCAATATTACAAGTTTAGTCTCGAGTTCTCTGTGTGTGCATGTGCTGTGTTTCTTTATATCTTTGCCCACTTTTGGTGTAAGGATAATATTAGCCATGAGTTCAGAAGCTTTTCATCTTTATTGGAGTTCTGGTGCATTTTGAGGAGGGTAGATTATTAAATAACCTTTTCAATATTATCTATGGTCATTGATTTATTCAGATTTTTCTCCCTCTTCTTCAGTCAATTTTAGTTACATATCCAATCTATTATTACTAGATTTAATAATGTATTGGTATCGAGTTACATGATAGTCTGTTGTGATTTTGTTGAAGTGTTCTGTATCTATAGTTATGTCTCCTTTCTCATTCCTTATGTTGTGTATGGTCTCTTTCTCGTTTTTTTTTTTTTTTTTTTTTTTTTTTTTTTTTT